CTTTTCTCTCTTTTCTTTCTTCCTTTTTTCTAAACAAGCTTTTACTCTATAATCTTGATTGTCCCTGAATTTGTTATCCTCCTTCTGTAGGAAAGTACTGAGATTCTAGCCAAGCACTCTCATACCCTAAATAATTTGGTTGTTAATTATGTTAAAGTATTGTAACATTACTCTGATGATCTTAACCACTTTATGTGTGCTGCTCAGAGATATTTAGTATGTACATACACCTTAAAGTACAGGAGACATTCTCCATCAGCACAAGTTTGTAATCATTTCAAGCAATGTATATATATATATATATATATATATATATATATATATATATATACAGTTAAATAGTAACTTGCCATTGAAGGAGTTTTTAAATAGCAATCTCTGGCTGCCTCAGATATGGTATTCAGTAGTCTATAGTTATAGATTAAAAATAAGGGATATAAAAAGATCTTACTTCAGTTTTCTATGAATAACTCAGGATAGTTTCTTTATATTTCAGTATTATAAATGGTACCTCATTTGTACCTTCCTGCTAGAATTAACACATGTACATTAAATATCAAGTGTCACAGAGTATAGATATGTATTTAATAAACCATTTCATAAGTATACTAACTTAATAGGACATTTTAAATATTTCCTGGTCTTCTGATATAGAAGTTGTTTTCAAAATCTGAAGTTATAGCTTTTCCACTCTTTCTGAACATCATTGACTTATCTGTTAAGATGGTTTATATCATCTCTGTTCTTGGTTCTGTCCATAGTATAAAACTAATATTCAGCAATGACATTTTCTATGTAAAGAAATCAATACTGGCTGAGTATATGTATATCCTATACAAAAATTGTGTAAGTATAATAATTTCTACATAGTCAGGTCTGCCAGGGCCTTGCAGGTGGATTGTTCCAAGAACAGTTAAAGATAAAATCAATGTTTTATTTTCACACTATGGAAAATTTGGAGTGAGCATTTTGAGAAAGCATACATTTTCTGGGGTAGATGTATTTTTCTGTATTATGGACCTAAGGTGTAACGTGTGCACAGCTTTTTATATACTCTCGGGTAATTTGTTTGCTGTCATTGAAAAGAATTTTAATGCATTTCTAACTTTTCTTTCCATCATTCAGGTTTATCAGCCATGACGTGATTCCTTCTTGTTGTAAAAGCTCCCATATAATCTTAGGTTTATGTTTCCTTTGTGCTTCCTTTTGCTGATAATATAAAATGAGAGTTGCCTAGAAGAATACTTAGCCTTCATGAATATGTAGAAGCAACAGAAAGCAAAATGTTTAAAAGTACCGGATTGCTTAAAATCTTAGGGAATTGGTAAAGATGAACAGTTTGTAAGACCATCATAATATGCCCTGCCTACACTAAGTCAGCTTTGCCCTCAGTGGCAATGACTTTTACTTTGGGTTTTTAATTTGTTTGTTTGTATTTTCAGAGTTAATCATCTACATCTAAGAAGTAAAGCTATCTAAATTTTGCTCATGGAAATAACTTTAGCTGGGCAAATAAAATTCCTTTCTCACTAAATCTCACATACTGTACTAAATATTCTAAGAGTCAACCCCTCACTGACTTCTTCATCATGAACAGCTCATTGGAGCCTTAATAATTTTTTATTCATAATGACTGTGAGAGAGTATGATATGGAAAGATCTGGAACAATACTAGCATGCAGAAAATAGAACGAGTGTCAAAATTATACCAAAGAAATACAAATAAGAAAATTTGAGTTAGCAAGAGTTTATGTTTAAGATGTTAGACACTTTGTTTAGCAACCAGTGAGATAGTTTGTAACTGTACTCAATTACAAGTAACACATCAGAAATTATCCTCACTGAAGGATGAGTGTCCATATAAAGATTTGGTTTTGACTCAAATTATTGTGAATACATTTTTAAGATTATGAATTTGAACATGTTCAGCTATTTTGATTCATACAAATGAATATTGACTTTCTAATTTTAAGGGAATTATAATTTTATTTTTTATTAAACCATAGCTCAAAGAGTCATTCAAAGATATAAAAAAGAAATTCAACAATCTGAAGTTTAATTACTCCAAGAAAAATGAAAAATCTAGAAACTTAAAGACTCTTCAATATCAAATCCAACAAGTGGAAACATATGCTGAAAAAATTCAGGTAATGAGAAAGTATTATGTATGTGTCCTCATGTGTGTGTGTGCGCGTGTGTGTGTACATATGCATGTACATGTGTAATTGCTACAATTAGCAAAGAATAAATGCAGTCCAGGAATAACTCTATTTTACAGAATTGACATGAGAAGGGTAGCTTTCTATTTTTATAATAATTTGACTTCTTGTAGGAAATGATTATTTATCTCATTTTCTCTTTAAAAACAATAGCTTTATTCTCTATAATCCAGAGTTGGCTTCTCTGGAAAGGTTATGTTCTTGGTATCCAGTCATGTGATGCTGATTTTAAACAGACCAACAGGGAAGAGTTCATAGAGTAACACATGGCATCATTCTACCCAGAGAACAAGCTTTATCACCTGCAGTCAAGCACACCACTATTCTGAGAGCTTTCTAGCTCATTCACTTTTCAAATTTCTTGCTGACACCTAAAAACAAAAGAAATGTGTGTACTCTGGAGGTACCGTGTTACGTAGTTCAGTGCATGTAAATGTTGCATGTCATTTAAGCCAGATAAGACCTATCTCTACAAATGCTCATAATTTATTCTAAAAACATTCTAGACCTCTGCATTTGACTGTCACCATGACCACCAGCATGTGTGGTTGCCCCGCTGGCTGCATACATCAGAGCTTCTGGCCCCATCACTGTAACATAGCACCAGTGATGCATGTTGAGATGTATGTGCTGAGTTAGCACTGGAATGCCAAACACACAGGTCTGTGTGCTTCCATGCTTCTTATCAACTGTTTATGCCTGTGCACACATGTCCCTCTTGTGCCCTTCACCCTCTTTCCTTCCTTGTCCCCACACATGCCCAGAGTAGATTCCAGAGGTCCTGTTAACTACATATACACATGCATAGACACATACACATTATGTATACACAATCTACATTATTTGTAGGCTTTTTATTTATGAATACTGACTGAATAAAATATCTAGGAAAAAATCTTATTCTTTCCAATGTATGTTTACAGTGATCATAATTTTAAGATATCAGAATGACAGAGGCAACACATGTTTTCCCAAGCTATTCTGTTTTACCACTAGCATCACAAGTAATATACAATTTCCTGTTAAAAACCTTTACCCCCGCCCCACTTACAGGCTTTGAGGAAGAAAATGGAAAAAGTTAATAATAAGACATCTGATTCATTCTTAAGTTATCCAACTAATAAAGCTAGCATCCTTGTGGAAGCCATGGAGGATTTGAAAAAGCACGTGGATGACTTTGACAAAGTTGTGACAGATTACAAGATGAATTTGGACCTGACTGAGCAGCTCCAGGAAGTAATAGAAGAGGTATTTTCTTGTTGTTGTTGTTGTTATTATTATTATTTGCTGTAACGTTACTTCAAAGAATGTTTTGTCCTGAACATGGTGTGGTCTTAGTAGTTGGAGGCAGAGGCAGGAGGTTACAAGCTCAGGTATAGTTTGGCCTCTATAGTAAGACACTATTTCAGAAAAAAAATTGCTTCTTTTAAAAAATAAATGCAGTATTAGTTACTGCTGTCATGACAGGTCCAGTCATGTTCCTCTCTGTTACTGATTTAAGGTAGTTCCCTGAAGTTGAACTGTCATGTCAAAGGCAATAAATGGCACATGAGTTTTGTTTTTCTGCATTGTCCAGTTGCTCTTGAGAAAGCTTTGATTAATTTACTCCTTCTTCCAGTACCATGAAAGTTTCCATTTCTTCATAACCTCTATTCAAACTATTTTAACCACTGATATTACAACCACTGCTAGAAAACTGTTTCAACACTCAAGCAGCATATTTAATTTCACAACATTTGAAAGCATTTCAGAATAACCTGAGACTGGGATATCTCAGGTGCTCCATTATTGGTGTTGAAACCTTCGTTACTGCAAAGGGGACAGTGGTAGTCCACCTAAAACACATGATGTTTGACAAGGTCAGGACGTTGCCTCATATTTTATATCAGAGAAACAACACCTGAGTCTTGCGCGTCCTTTGTGCCTATTATTCTGACTTATAAACTATCTTTCTTTACAGTTAATACAGTTGAGTGTTTGTATTTAACACCACATTATGAATGATCTGATTATTCTGTGAAGCATGATATACATGTTTGCTGAAGCTTCTTGGCACTTACTTAATGCAAGCTTTTCACAGGGTCCTGTTTTGCTATTTTTTACCTAGCACAAATGCCTCTGGCCTGGGGCAGACATTCCTCCTGTCACAGTTACTTATTTTTAGAGAAAAATTACTTCATACCTCTACAGTGCTTCAAAATAATGACTAGGTTTCTTTCATGAAGGTAGAATTCTATTCTTTGGATGATAATTCTTTGACCCATATCTAAATTTCATTCTTAAAAGAAAATATATCATTAGAATATTATTAGCAGTGTTTGTTGATTATACTAATTTTTGAGTATTATCCACTGAATATTATTGTTCTTTTAGTGAGCAAATGATCTTGCTGCTTGATCTTAAAAGTGTACAATGTTGTGTTAAGAATTATATTTTAGACAAATCTAGGATGGCAAGAGAACTAGAGCTATTTGTATACTTTTGCCTTCTAATTTTTCTTGTGTATATTTCTTTAATTATACTTTTAAAATATGTGCCCTGGAATATGTGAAAATACATGTGACTGTGTGCTGATATTTTCTTTAACATGACTTGGAAAGTTTAAAGACTATGTGAACATAAAGTTTGAGAGAATCGAAATCCAAAGCATCCTTGGTCAGTGTGAAGAACTTCAGAAGTGGACACGTCTCTTTACTCTGTTTTCTTCCTTTCGAATATAGTGTAACTTTTGGTATGAAGATGCAAGTGCCACAGTTGTAAGAGTTGGAAAGTATTCCATGGAGTGCCAAACGAGGGAAGCTGTGGACATCCTCCACAGGCAGTTCAATAAGTTTATTACTCCCTCAGTGCCCCAGCAAGAAGAAAGGATTCAGGAGGTCATAGACCTTGCTCAGCGCTTATACGGTGAGCATTCCTGTGATAGTGATTTTCCATTGAAGGAATCTTTTCTGAACCTAATCCACCAGGAAACAGAGCAAAGTCCTCACTATCCCCACCTAGGCTGAGAAAAGTCTCAGGATCTGTTCTACATCCAGCAAAAGTAAACAGTAGGGAATAGCTCCCCTACTGCTCTTCCCACAGCAGGAGATGAAGCCTGGCTTTAAACTATCTGGTATCAGCCCTGGTTCCCTAATCACTCTGTAGTCCATCCTTTCTAGTCTCAGATTCAGACCCACACTCTATAGACACAGAGAATAATGTCCCCTAAGTGATTCCGTGAGCATAAGAAGATTCTGTGCTGCTGGTGCAAAGCTTCCCCTAAGGATTTC